GTAAACGCCCCCTAATTAATATCATTACCATATAAAAGAGCACACGCCAATATCTGAATTTCTATGCTTGAAGCACAAGCACGAGCACAAAGAAAAAAAACTTTACAGAGTCTGAAACTGAGGTCCTGCTGGCGGAGCTAGAGGTTCGTGCGGGACGCTTTTTATTTAATAATGTGTAATTATTCTGTGGACAAACACTGTAAGGTGCTATATTAACACTAAAAATTCAACACTACGAACGGTGTACTTTTAACACTAGACAGATTGGGACCATATATGATCTTTAGTAGTGTTAAAATCGACACTTTAAGTGTTAAATTGACACTGCGTCTTTTACTGTGTACCCTTACCCTTAAATCAATGCAAATATATTTTTGGTAGCACAATCTGATAGGTAGCATGTTTCGTCGGTACACCGGCACGACCCTAAATTGAAGGTTGTGATGACGATTCGTTTCCTTACCATAATGTATTCTCTTGAAAATTATTTATTGTCAAATGTGTGTTGAATGTAAACTCCTATTATGAATTTAACCATTCAATGTGAATTTATCTGAGAATATTCTTAAATGAGGAAATCTATTCAGTGATTGGTCCATGCGTATTTAGTCATCCAAAATCCTGTTTGTGGTACAGTGTCGTGAATCAACTCTAAAGGTCTTTGCACACCGAGTCCGAAATTTTCGCATGCGTTTTTCCGTTTTTTCGTATTCTCGTATTCACCATCCTTTCCTATCAAAATGCATGCTACGGATGCGAAAACGCAGAAAATCGAACCTGATCCGAATTTTTTTATGACGGACGAAAGTTTCGGAGGCAGTGTGTAAACATGATTGACAACATGAGGTCGTATTTATTTTTCAACGTGCGAAAATTTCGGACTCAGTGTGCAAAGACCTTAAGCAGTAAATCTATAAAATAACGTTACAAATAAATACAGAAAATTCCATGTTACAGTACATTGTGCCATATTACATTTTACAGATTTTTTTAGGGTGTACATAATGGTGCGTATAAATAAAAGCAATTAAATTATATCTAAGTTAAGAACTAAATGAAAAAAAAACTGACAAAATAATAATCTTTAAAATAGCATCATATGACCCCTTTAAGACTGACACTTTAACACAAGATTTAGTCCTACACTTTGCTTAAACTACAACGGAGATGCTTGATAACTAACTTTTAAGCTTAGCTTTAAGCCAAGATTTTTTTTACACAAGTCAATTCTTAGCAGCATTCTAGAGAGTAATGCTCAGAGGCTTGATAAACACGGGCCCTGCTTCTAAACAGTTAAACACACTTTTAAAAAAAGATGTGGGAAGTGCGTCAAGGTAGCAGGTTGATGATTTTTATAAGGTTTGAGAAGAAACTCTGTCTAGCTGTGACTAGTTCCACATTGAAAGCACGAAGGCTGTCTTTATAGATGCTGTAGTGAATTTCAAGTTTTGTCTTCCGCCACAGCCGCTCAGCTTTTCTGCATTGTCTTTTCATACTCTGAACTGCTGTTGATTTTCTCCAAGAATTATCATATATTGAGCAGGTTAAAACATGTGTCCTGTGTGACACTGTCACACAATGGATGAAATGTTTAGACCTCT